TTGGCTTATGGTATTTTTATATGAAAGTGGAGGATGTTCAAATGCTGGTTTGAGAGAGATGGGGGGGGGAGTATTTTATATGTTGAGATGTGAAATGATGTATTTTCCAGACCTGGGGAGAAGGAAGTTCTATATTTGCAGAATGTTTTAAAAAGGAGTAGCCATGATGTTCGTGTGAACATCACTAAGGTTTTGTACGAATAGGAACCTTGCAGTGTTTTTCGGCGTATGTTCCTGTGTGTGTAGCGTGCTTTGTACAAAAAGCTAGGCCATTTGTATGAGCGTTCTCTGAGCTCTGCTCTCATTCCTATGGCTATTTATTGTTTCCTTTAATATTTGTGAAAGTCTCTCTTTGGTTATGTAGTTTTGTTTCTGCACATCTACTGTACTTCTCCATATGGAATAAAAACCATTACTACAAGTGGGTTGGCATTCATTGATAGGGGTAAGTAGACAGTAATACCTTCTCAACAGCTACCTGCCTCGTTTTAATGGTACCCTAAAGGGTGAAAAACACTTTGTTTTTTTGTTTGTTTGTTTGTTTTTTGAGACAGGGTTTCTCTGTGTAGTTTTGGTGCCTGTCCTGGAACTCACTCTGTAGACCAGGCTGGCCTTGAACTCAGAGATCCGCCTAGCTCTGCCTCCCGAGTGCTGGGATTAAAGGCGTGCACCACCACCGCCTGGCCTGAAAAGCACTTTCAATATAGCAACAAACACATGTTTCATCTTCATTCCAGAATAAAGTGGAAGCTTCTAGAAATTCCAGAGTCCTCTAGCATCAAAATTGTTGGTTTTTCCTTCAATAGGGAAGAAGCATGAGGAACAGGAATGTGTAGTAATGGGCTCGCTGACTGGCAGCAGGTGATCTGTAACACAGACTGGCAGTGCCCTGTGCTCCATTAGAGGGCAGAACTCTGAACAGCTCGGGGGCTGGAGAGATGGCTCGGCCAGAAGACCCGGCTTCAACTCCCAGCACCCACATGGCAGCTCACAACTGTCTGTAACTCCAAGATCTGACACCCTCACACAGCCATACATGCAGACAAAACACCAGTGCACATAAAAATAAATAAATAAAAAAGAATGGCTGGTTCTTTTAGCACATTTACATTATTCTTCAGTTAAAAGGGTCTTTTTGTCTTTACGCCCACAGATAGAGCAGTCAAGAGTGAGATTGTTTTCGTTGTATCATGATACACGATTCTTACTTGAAATATTTGTTTATGTATTTTTTAACTTAAAATTTTTGAGACTTTTCCATATGCATACTGTATTCATATTTCCACAGCTTCCTGTGCCCATCCAACTTCTCCCCTATCACCCCCATGCCCGCTCACATTCATGACCCTTCAACTGTTTTACACACACACACACACACACACCTACCCCTAATCTCCTGAGTCCAGTTATTGTTGCTTGTATGGACATGCATTTAGGACTGGATAGCCTATTGGGGGCTTGCCCCTTGAGAAGATTAATTCAGCAGCCACTAATTGTCTGTAGTTCTTCATCTAGTGGTGGGGACTCTGTGAGACTTCCCTCATCCTTGTTGGCATATGTCTATTTTTTTCCAAGTACTTCTTTTTATATCTATATAAGATTATTATTCTTTACATCCCAACCGCAGTTTCCCCTCCTTCCTCTCCTCCCAGTCCCCCAACCTCCTCTCCACCCCCCATGAGCCCAGGTTAGTTGATTCTGTGAGTTTTTTTTGTGATGTCCTTGACCCCTCTGGCTCCTCCAATCTTTCTTCCCCCTCTTCAGCAGGATTCTGAGCTCTGCCTAATGTTTGGCTGTGGGTCTGCATCTGTGTCCATCAGTTGCTGGATGAAGCTTCTCTGCTGACACTCGGGCCAGGCACCAACCTGAGTACACTAGCTAAGACTCCTAGCAGTGGGGGATACAGAGCCTGAACTGGCCATCTCCTGTGACCAGGCAAGACTTCCAGTGGAGGGACTGGGATACCAGCCCAGCCACAAAAGCTTCGACCTACAATTTGTCCTGCCTGCAGTAGGTGTTGGGGTAAAGGTGGCATGACCAGTGACTGGTTGGTCCAGTTTTAGACCCATGCCACGAGGAGCCTACCCACCCCTGACACTGCCTGGAGGGCCAGGACCCAAAGGCTGGAGGGCCCGGAGACCTAGGACAGAGCCAAACACGACGGGTGTGTGTGTGTGAATGAAATGATCCCTAATGATATTCTGCTATACACAAATACTTTTTAAAAATAATTTTCTTGAGAATTTCATATATGCATACAAGGAAATATGACCATAGCCCCAATTTCCTTTCTCCAGTCTCCCCATATCCCTGTCAATATGTACTGTCCCAGCTCCATGGTTTTGTTTTTACTGGCCCATTAAACCCACTTCGTGCTGTGTATTATGTGCGTGGGTGTGGGCCTTACTTGAGCAAGGGGGTCTCCCTGTGGGGACGCCTCCCAAGAGATGGACTCTCTCCCTTGGCCACCATCACCTGCCAGGGAAGACTGACTTTGGATCTGAAGCCTAGTGACTGCTTTAGGTTACTGCCTCCTTCCTGACGTTGCTGGAGGCTGACTGTTTCTAGTCCTCAGCACTGTTTCAAGGATAAAACAGAAGAATGGGACAGGAAGGCCAGAGTAGTGCTGAGGAGTGTATAGCTCCTGCCTTGACCACCCTGGACAGCAGCCAGTGTGTGAGGACTGCTGGAGTTGCTGTTCTGATTTCAGTCTTGATAAAGACAGGACCTGCTCATTATCCAGGCAAGAAGTGAAATCCCGGGAAGCTGCAGGTCAGAGGGCACTGGGCACTGCCCCCACCTCCTCCTGAACCAACCCCTGGGCCACAGCGTCCCCGGGGAGGGGGGGGGGGGGGGGGGGGACAGTGGGGGGAGGATGTCTTGTGGAAGAGGGGGTTGTTTGTCAATGTCAGTTTAGATAAAAAGTCAACACTTGGAAAATGAGTAGTTTCCAGGTATTTTGCTTTATAAGAAATCTTAACACATCTATTTTACTTTGTGTGTCTCGGTATTTTGCCTGCATGCCTTGTGCCCTGGATCCCCTGGAAGTTACAGTTGTGAGCTACCACATGGGTGCTGGGAATTGAACCCGGGTCCTCTAGAGGAACAGCTAGTGCTCCTAACCAAGCCATTTCTCTATCCCCACACATCTAAAAGTAACTTAAACTGCCTTTTCTAGCCAGTGACTTTCAGTGATTGTTAACTTTTAAGTGAAAAGCTAGCCAGCAAGTCTCCTACTTTATAAAAACAAACAATACAGAGATACTTGGTTTAATGATGGTTCTCTTCTAAGTTAAAGAACAATTAGAAATAATAGCATAATTTCTGTACAGCTTTCAATTTAAAGCACTACTTTGTGGAACTCATTTTCACTTTTTTGCCCACAATGAAACTAAACTGTGTAGAATAAAATATATTTCTTTCTACAGTAAAAGATGGAGGGGTTTACCTATGAAACAAAAGAAATACAGTTTGGTATCTGTTTAAAAAGTCCCAAAGCAGTGGTTACAAAAAAAAGGACAGCTAGATGTGGCAGTTTTCTGTAAAGGAACTTACTCATTATACGTTTATGAAACAGGAGAAAGTAAAAGGTGTATTTACATTGTTTCTCCCCCTCCCTTTTTTTTTTTTTTTTTGAGGCAGGGTCTCTGTGTGTAGCCCTGGCTGGCCTGGAACTCAGAGATCCACCTGCCTCTGCCAACCAAGTGCTGGGATTTAAGGGCGTGTGCCACCACTGGCAGGCATTTTTTTAAATTTCTAAGTGGTGTTTTATTTATGCACAGCAGACTGGGGCAATCTTGTGATTAAATGTCCACAGCGCTTTTCATTCACAAAATAGTTATTTATATGAGCGTTGTTTCTGAATTCATTGTTTGCTGTGTGTGTTTCTGGTGCTTGTGAAGGCCAGAAGAGGGCGCTTGATTCCCAGGACCTGGGGTGACAGGGTTGTGAGCCACTATGTGGGCTCTGGGAATTGAACCCCAGTCACCTGGAAGAGCAGCCTAAGTACGCTTAACTGCTGGGCCACCTCTCCAGCCCCTCATTTACAAAAGTTTTTAATTTCATATTTTCTGTGATGCTCCATGAATGAGCCACCAGGCTTTTAAAAATTCATTAATAAGTTTGTATATTCATCATGTTTTCATGTTGTTTGAGACAAGGTCTCACTCTGTGGTGCAGGCTGCTCTGGCATTCTTGGGGTAGACAGGCTGGTTGCAAATACATGGGAACTTACCTACCTGCCTTAGCCTACTGAGTGCTGATGGCTTGAGCCTCTAACAAATTGTTTCTGCTTTTATGAGTAGGGAATGGACATGCATCCAGCGATAGACTACAACTCAGTATGAACCCTGCTGACTTCCACCTAGTGATACTGTATCCTTAACATCCTAGTGTATGACCAAGCCTGACCCCTGCTGACTTCCACCTAGTGATACTGTATCCTTAACATCTTAGTGTATGACCAGCCTGACAGCCAATGTCTGAAACAGATGCACTGGATAAGACAAGCATGGATATATGTCTGTCATCTTAAGCTGCATATCATCCCTGCAGGTCGCATGTGAGTAGTCCCAGTGGTGTCTGCAGGGGGTGACCAACCTCTAGGAGGCCAGGCAGAGCCTATAGCCTCTAGAATGATAAGATTCTCCATTGCCTTCTTTGACATTTATTTTTGTTTGCTTGGTTGATTTTGTGTTTAGTTTTATTATGAGAGAAGCTATCAAGTGTCCCAGGCTAGCCTTTAACAGGCCATATAGCTGAAGGTGACCTTGAACTTCAGGGTCCTCCTGAATTGGAGGTAAGTGCCACCATGACTCACCTGTGCCAGAAAGTCTGAAAACCTTTGGCATCAAACACACTCTTTTCTAAAACTGGCTTCCAGTCTTGATCAGATTCCTGAATCCCTGCCTGTAACATCCACACAGTATCCCAAGCCAACCTTAGCTCTGAATGAAAATAAATAAACAAACAAATAAATAAAGGGCATTACCACTTGTAGGTATGGCAGAGGGAAAGTTTATTATAGAGATGTGGGAGAGCATAGTCAGAGGCAGGGACCTCTGGGAGGGTCCTGAGTGGACAGGATAAGACTGGGGAAGAGGAGGGAGGAACCAGGTGCAGCAGCCAGGAGTCCAAAAGGCAGGTATCCAAAATGTCTGGATTATATGGAGAAGAGCCTCTGGGGGAAGGGCAGCCCAGGCCCTGGGCTGGAGAGTTCAGGGTAGAGGTTAGGGTTTGCCAGCCATACCCTGTAACTGAGGGATGCTGGGAGAACCTGGTGGTCAGGTCTGCTCTGATATATTAAATAGGCACATTTGGTCCCAGGTTTGAAATTTAACAGTTTCTAGCTCCTGGGGTCCCATTTCTTCTTCTGACTTCTAAGGTACCAGGCACTCATATGGCGCAAATATACAAGTGCAGAAAAAAACTAAACACATGAAATCAAATCAAATCATTTTTGTTTTTGAAAAAGGTGGTCCCTCTGTAACCCTGCCTGGCCTAGAACTCACTATGTAGACCCAGCCGGTCTCCAGCTCACAGATTCACCTGCCTCTGCAGGGGACAAGGCCTTGCCACCACACCCAGGTTAAATAAAACCTTAAAAATTATCTTAAAAAGCCAGAAATACCAGTCTGAAGTGAACAAACCACGGAAAGAAAAAATAACAGAAGATTGATTAGGCCAGCCAGAGATATCAGGAATTAGGAGGCTGGGGCAGGGTTTGATGACATAGTCTTGTCATTTCAGCTTTCGGGAGGCAGAAGCAGGAGGATTGCAAGTTTTAACCAACCTCCGCCACATGGCCAGTGCAGGACCAATCTAGACAACAGCAAAAACCAGTCTCAAAAAAATGAAACCATAAATTAACAGACAAAAAACGTTTGAGATGAAGGCAAAGCTACAGTAGAGAAGAAACGAGACTCTGATGGTGAATATTATGTTTAAAAGTTGAAAATCACTGGGCTTAGGAGAACAAACTATAAAACAAAAATGCCTCTAACCTGTAAGCCCCACCTGCCCGAGGACAGATCACTTCCCAGAATGCTGGGGGCTGTTCCTGTCATTGCCTGGTCTCATACAAACCTTGTGTTTTCCCGTCTGTAAACAAGCTTGCTTGCCCCTGACTCCATGTAGGCAGGAAATACATCAGGATATGTGCTTGCCCCTGGTTGCATGAATGCAGGAAGCCCGTGCCTTGTGCATTTTGTCTTTATAAACCCCTGATTAATGTAATTGGGTGCTGCATCTTGAAAGAGCTCTCTGATGCAGCCCTGGTACCCTGTGTATCTGGTGCCAGTATTGTTATGGTCTGGGGTTGTTCAGAGATTGGCCAAGAATACATTTTAGTAAATAAGAGGCTTTATGAAATACTGACTAGGCCATGGACACGGGCCAGGTCCATACCCGGGATTCCCAGAGTATGGCCTATTTCTTCATTCTAATGTTCTTGGATACTCTGTGAGTGTCTGGGGGCCGAGTGAACAGGACAAAGGCTAAAGACACAGTGTTCTGCCCCCTGCCCTGGTGGTCAGGCTCCGCTCTGGGGAACAGCTTAGGCAGGCATCTGAGAGGTCAGTGCAGACTCCTTCCTCAACTTCAGGTCCTGGGTGACGGAGGCAGACACGGTGCTGCTGGTGTAACAGGTCCCAGGCTAGCTGCCTGGACACACGTTCTCACACTGGGAGGAAGTTTGCCACTCGATATAGTTCAGCAAAGTTAAAGTGACTAGCTGAGCTAGCTTACATCTGAGGTTGAATAATGGGGGGGGAAAATCCCTATATTATACAAAGTTAGAACCCAACAAAATTTCTATTCAACATGCCTGGAGTAATTTTTTCCCAATTTATTAAACAATTTACAATTATATTGTGAAAATTCTATTCTAATGCTCTCTGAAAACTATGGAATGGCTGTTATCCAAGATGGAAACAACCATAGAATCTAAACTACTCCAGGATGTGGCCTACACCTAATAACACAGTTAGACATTGCAAAGTTTTATTTCTACCCATTTTCCCATTAGTGCAAAAATATTTTCACTTTTATAGAAACAGCAATGACATTAGACATATAATTCTGTGCTTTAAGGGTGATTTACATTTTAAAAGTAACTGAATTTCACATGTCTTTTCCTTCTATTTGCTTTTGTAATGCCTGGTTAGCGCTGAACGACGTCACTGGAAATGTATCCGATACCCTATGAACGATTCATTTCTCATGTGTCTCTAGCCATCGATTGATGGCCATTTTCAGAGTCCTGTTTGGTGTCAGTACCAGCGAAGGAAGAACCAGGTTTGTCATGGGGCTCGTGCGTTTCTTTTTGTGGATCCAGCTTTCCATGGCTTCTCTCTCATAGGAATAGCCATCTAGAAAAAAAAGCACATTGCTTCAGGGAAGGAAGGGGAATTAGGATTAGTACATGAACTGCAGTGTACAAACCAGGGTACCTATTGGCAGTTAATGGTCTTCTTGCTTTGCCTGTACCATGTCCAGATACCCCAGCCACAGCAGCTGGCTCGAACCCCTGAAGGTGTACTAAGCTTGGATTGTGCTCTGCTGAAACACAACAGCTGAGACCAGAGCTGTGTTGAAATTCAGAAACTACGGTTGAAAAGAGGGTAGAGTGGAGTGAAGACATTCTGGTAAAGATGAGGGAGGAAAAGGTCTTAGGAAGAGCTCAGGGAAACCCTTCAAGGTGTCGAACAGCACTGGAGTTAAGACCACAGAATATGGCCAGAGAGAGATGGCCGGAGGAAAATCGCTACCGTCTCATGCCATGCTTGTGCTAAACTGCTTTGTCACACATGTGACAACCGAGGTGGGCGAAGGGCCGCAAACCTGTGAGGCCGGCACTCAGGAGGAGGCCAGTGTGATCTTTACTGAACTTGGATCGTTTTCACCCAGCCTGAAATGCTTGCTTCTCTCCACGCTAAATCTTCGAACTACACCGTTGACAACAGGGCCCTGAACTTGCCGTCCTCCTGCCTTCCCCAGGGGAATAGTACCAGTCTCGCACCACCCTGCCTGGCTTCAGCTGCGATGGCGTCTTTGTTGGCCCTTCAGCTCTGCCTGGCTGGTAACATTCTACTGTGTAGCCCTGCGCTGTATGTATCCCTTCCGCAGACAGAAGCAACGTGGACAGTTTCCATGCGGGAGTTCTCAACGCTACTTACTCCCAGTGCCCAGCCTCTCTCATGAACTGGACACACACACACACACACACACCCCTAGGGGTTAGAACTATGTTGTAAGTTTCTGGGAAACTGCCAAGTTTGTTTCAACAGCCACCAGAGCATTTTAAATTCTCACCGACATAAGATTCCAATTTCTATCTTGCCAACATTTATTTTCCAACTTTTTAATAATTTTTTATTTTCCCCAACTTTCTGAGACTAAGCCACCAGTTAACATGACTGCTGTGTGGCTTTGAGTTGTATAGATCACTGATGACTATAATGCTACCATGCATACTGCCCAGCTGTAAAGCAGTTTATCAAACTGTCTTTTTCTTTTCCAGTCAGGATTTCACTGTGTAGCCCACGCTGACCTCAGACTTGCAGCAATGCTCCTGCCTCCCCACTGGAATTACAGGTGTGCACAACCATCCCCAGCTTATCTGCCCATCCAAGTCACACACACTGAAAACCCACTCATCTACGCACTTGTTACAAAGCTGGACCGTCACAGGACACAAAGCCAATAAACCAAGCCCAATCCTATTCCCACATACATATGCAATACAAAGTGTAAAACCACAGTATTAGAAAATACAAAGTAATTTTAACAAAAGAAAAAATATGCAAAAATCTATGCAGCAAAACAGCAGTGCTGAGAGAGAAAAGACCCGTGTTAACTGGCAAGTGATGTTCCCAGTCCCTCTCCGGATTAAACACCGTCCTCGTGAAAACCCCAGCAAGCTGCTGCCGTGAAGAAAGCCAGGTGATGTCCGAGAGTAGGAACCAAACCTGCAGACTCACTGGCCTGACTTGAGACCCGCTGTAAAGCAGCAGCGGTCACGGGCTGAGTGACACAGGATGGGACAGAAAGATGACATTGAGCCTGGGAGTGAGCCTTCCGTGGCCAGTGTCTCGCTTCAGTGAGGAGGGACTCATTAGTACGTGAAGCTGAGACAACCGTATGCAAACATTAGCTTGAAACAAGCCATAGGCCTAAAAACCAATGTGAATGCCGGAGCCTTGGCCAGGCAGCCTTCTTAGGATTAAAAAATGATGAATCGACATGAAAGTGGTCCAGCGGACCCCATCAAAATTAAACATGTTTTTCAAAGACACCATAGAGAAAATGCATACAATGCATTGCCTGATAAAAGACACACTTAGAAAACAAACTGATAATTCAATACAAAATGAAGGACTAGAGGGTATATACTATGAAAGATCTAATATCTAAGAAGCATACTGAAAGATGCTTCATTGCAGTGAGGATTAAAAGTACAATGAGATACTACTTCATACCTGTTATTCGGGATTAGAACAACTAACAAATACCATGTGTTTGCAAATATGGGCAGAAACTGGAATTCTCAGTTATGAGCTTAAAATGGTGCATCCACCTTGAAAAACATTTCAGCAGTTTTAAATGCACTTAGGAGTGGAATTTCTGGATTGTTTACTAAGTATTTCATCATGAGACATGAGTGCTGTCCAGACAAAGATCTGTGGATGAAACGTTAGGACAGCTTTCAGACATGCTAGCCCATTGCCAGTTAATGGATAATGTATGTGGTATATCTAGTGCAATGCAACACTATTCAGCAATAAAAAGGAATGAATTGGGGTTGGACTGATGGCTCAAAGGTTATGAGCACTGGCTGCTCTTCCAGAGGACCTGGGTTCCATTCCCAGCACCCACATGGCAGCTCACAACTGTCTGTAACTCCAGTTCCAGGGGATCTAACTGCTGCAGGCCAAAAAATATATGAAGTAGGAATTCAGCTGATTATGACAAAGCTAGACCTGGAAGAGTTAAGAACTCTTCCAGAGGATGAGGCCAAGGCTCAAGGAGTCTTGGTGATATTGGCTTTTGATTATTAGCTGTTTCCTGCTATGAACTTGTCGTGTGCTAGTGTGACTTTTCCATTATTCATTGGGCACAATTTCTCCAACTGTGCTACAACAGACAGACAAAAATCCCTAATTTCAGGCTTTTCTGTAATTATCATTAGCAGCATCCGGCCAGGACCATTCCCAGACAGACAAAAAGGACTAGAGGGTATATACTATGAAAGATCTAATATCTAAGAAGACAAAAGTATCTTATCTGAGATACCTCCCAGATTCTCTAAGAACAGACTTAAGCATCCAGACTATCTGTTGGAGAAGGCCTGGTGGATGTGCTTATTAAGCTTAACTTTCTCCTTTCCAAAGTCTTATCTCTAGTTTTAGACCCACCCTTAACAATTAACTCCGAACTAAAGGGTTCCTTCCTACAGTACATCTAGCTGTGAGGGAAGTTGCCTAGCCATCAAACACACTTCTCCCACCCTGCCAGAAAATGGCAAGAGCAGAGATAGCTTGGAGAGATAAAGGCCAAAGGGATAAAAGATAGTTTTATTTTCAGAGCAAGGATGGAGAAGAAAAAAGAGAATGGAAGAACTAGATGGGTAAGAACTGGAGGGGAATGAACTGAGGTGGGAAGAACTAGAGAAAGAACTAGAAGGATGAGATGGAAGATGAGGAAGACCACAGTGGGCAGAACCAGATGAAGGAATTAGGTTGGCACTTAGAGGGACCAGCAGAGAGAGGTGGAATCAGGCACGAAAGGAGCTAAGTGTGAGAGCAGAAGAGAAGCTGTGTGGAGAGAGAACTGACTCAGGAAAACCGTGAATGGACTAAAGAATTTCGTGTACGTAGATTATTAGAGAATCCCTCAGGTTAATCTGCCACTGGGAGCGTCTCTTCTGGAACTCTGGGTGAAGGCTATCGTGGGGCTGGACCCCGACAGCTTTTGATATCTGACACCTTCACATCAATGCACATAAAATAGAGCTAAGTAAATTTTATATAAAAAGAATTAATTACTGATGTGTGCAACAGATAAATCAATCAAAAACATTCTGCTGAGCATGTCTGTATACTGATGCAGAAATTGATATCAAATGTTCCAACTTCATAATCTTGAAATTCATGATAGACACAACCAAAGGTCAGAGAGATCTAGGCAGTCATTTTACATCTTGAGGGTTGGGAAGATGGCGCAGCGGCTAAAAGTCTTCTGTGCAGGCATGAGCATGAAGACTCATGTCCACACCACCAGCACCCACATAAAAGCCTGGCATGGCTAACGCATGCCTGTAACTCCAGCACTGAGCGACAGACCGGTGGATCCTGGGAGCTCACTGGCCGGCCAGCTTAGCCTAATCTGCAAGGTTCAAGCATGTGTCTTAAGGAAGTAAGGCAGACAGTGATAGAGAAAGACACCCAATGTCCTCCTCTGCACGTGCATGCACACCTGCACACACACACAGTCTTGACATCTGGTATTCATATAAATTTAAGTGAAATTTCAAAACTTAATACTTTGTCTCAATTCCAATTTACTGTGTCCAATGTATTACAAAATATACGTGTAAAATTTTTTACTTTAATTTTCTTAAAGGAAAAAAAACCTACTTATGAGAAACAAAATGGGAATTTTGAACATAGCCCAAATTTAAAGGAACTTGTGTGAAGTGCGCATTATCCTCTATGTGGACGTCACCCCGAGTCTGGCAGCCACCACTCATACCTGACGCTATGACGGGGTCCTTCATAAGCTCTCTAGTGATGGGACAGACAAACTCGTCAGGGACTCCAGAAGAAAGGGAGTCCATCCTGGTCCTGAGCTCTCCGATACTCCTCAGCACTTTGCTGCGTAGCCCTAGAGATTCTGAAAGAGTATTTGTTACTTTAGGCAGCGGGTGAAAATCTGTAAAATGAAGTATTACCAGGAAGTGAAATAAACTTTCAGGGTGTAAAGACAGATGACACACAAAGCCAGGAAAGAAATTTGTATTATTTTTCAACGATGTTTAAATAATCGGCTTTCTGTTACTGGACACAATACTCAAGCCAACCCGCAGGTGGAAGGGTAGACTCTGGCTTTAGTCCATGGGTGAGTTGGCTCCACTGCATTCTGGCCTGTTGAGAGGCAGCGGAGTGGGAACACTGGGTGACGAAGCCGCCTGCCTCTGGTGTCTAGGAAGGGAGGGGCCCCCAGTGTGCTCTTTAGGGGCTACCACAGTGACCTAACTTGATCCCACTAAGTCTCAGCTCCTAAAGCTCTCCTGTCATCTCCCTGCAGTAGCACAGGCTGGCACTCAAGCTTAACACATGGAAGTCGAGGCACACACATCCAAACCCTAGCAACCTGGAAAATGAATTTTAAAAAGAAATGCCTTGTGGGTTTTTATTAGTCCCCAGAAAGGAAAGATCAAAAAGTAAAACCTCCAGTGGGGAACAAAAAAAAAAAAAACAGGCCGGGCAGTGGTGGCGCACGCCTTTAATCCCAGCACTTGGGAGGCAGAGGCAGGTGGATCTCTGTGAGTTCGAGGCCAGCCTGGGCTACCAAGTGAGTTCCAGGAAAGGCACAAAGCTATACCGAGAAACCCTGTCTCGAAAAACCAAAAAAAAAAAAAAAAAAACTTTTCATTCCTATTTATAAATGTATGATTAATTACTTCAATATATGAATGCTGACCTACAGTAGTTTCTTTGCACTTGCTATTCTAAATTTCTACCAGTTTATCTCTTCCAAGCTCTAAGATCCACAGCACTGTGCAATATCCTGAGGCCAGTGTGCACGCACAACTCTAAGAGACTGGACTCATGGCTTTTCTAATACTGTCCAAAATTGGCTTTCCTGCTCTTTACCAGGCATTCGTTATACTTAAAATTTTGGCAGCAGATTCACAAATGCCTTAATACATCTCAACATCAAGGATGGATACTCCTTATGCAAATAGATGATGTAGGGAGTTATTTCTTAAGGGAAACTGTGACTCTGAACTCCTGGAAAGCTGGGAGACGGCAGATAAGGTGCAGAGTTTGAGAACACACCCACAGTGGCTCACTTTATAGTGCATGGCTACTTCTGTATGCTGAAAGCAAATTCAGATTTCACACTGGCCTTAGGAACTGAAATCAAGCTACAATGACAAGTGCAGGCAAAACATTTCTGCATGTAACTAGCAGGCATCAGCATGTATGTCCTCAGTTCGCCTTTTCTATTTTCAATCTTGACTTTAACTCTGTGTCAGCCAATGTATTGTTTTACAGAAAGGGTGTTTTTCTTAAAATCCAAGACTAAAGGAAATTCTTTGTAGCTTAAAACAGTATTTGAAGATTAAAAGTTAACTTCTATAATGAAGACAAATAAAACATTTCAACATACTTCCGAATGGCCTGGTATGTAGCCATGCATGCCTATAATCTTAGCCTTTGAGAGGCGGAAGCAGGAGGATCATGGGGCATAGCCACACAGTAGATCATGACATAATACCAAAATATCAGATATTTCAGAATGATGTGAAGAACCAGATGCTCCAGAGAACATATTTCCTAATTCTGCTTCTAAATTGTTGAATTTGCCAATTTTCCAAACTGTAAAGCAGAATATTCCTATGTTGAAACCTATCACCACTGCTTCCCTGCCTTAGGCCAAGAACAAGTATGACACATAGTTACAAATGACGCAGTGGTGTTGGAGGCTGGCCTTTAGACAAACAGGACCAGAACCCTTACAAAAGAGACCCCAGAGAGCGAACTCATCCATCCCACTAACAGGAAGAGAGACGCTGTCTGTAAACCACACGTTACTCCTGACTAGACACCACACCTGCCAGTCCCTGGGTCTTGGACTTGGCAGAATGAAGAAATCAATTTGATATTTATTAGCTTACCTAGTTAACAGGATGTTGCCATAGCAACCTGAATGCATTAAGGCAAATACCTAAGTTATCAAGGAAATGCAAATCAAAGCCTAAGGAGAAACCATAACTACTGGGCGGTGCTAACAACAAAATCAAACAAGTGTTGGAGACACTAGGAGAAGCTGGAGCCCCCCCCCCCACCATGCTGGGGGGGTGGTACAGAGAAACACCCCTGACCCCACCCCACCTCGCCCCATGCTGGTAGGAGTGTGTAATAGCAGGGCTGCTATGGAAAATAGCCTGACAACCCCTCCAGTGTCAAACAGAGGATTCCCCTGTGACCCACCAATTCTACTTTGAATAGATGCACAAGAAAACTGAAAAGATGCTCACACAAAAACTTGTATATTAGCCGGACAGTGGTGGCTCACGCCTTCAATCCCAGCACTCGTGAGGCAGAGGCAGGTGGATCTCTGTGAGTTCGAGGCCAGCCTGGTCTACAGAGCGAGATCCAGGACAGGCACCAAAACTACACTGAGAAACTCTGTCTCCAAAAACCACAAAAAAAAAAAAAACCACTTGTATATGATTGTTCATAGAGGTACTATTTATTAGATCTAAAACATGGAACTCTCCCAAATTCCATCAGTTGAAGACAGGCAAAAGGAGACAGGTTAGACACAGAAGGCCACATATGTTGAGTGAGGTATGGGATTTCTTTCAGCACTGATTAAGAAGTGGTGATGGTGGTACTATCTGTGAAGGTGAGCTGAACACACACCTCTGCCGTGTGTAAACATCACTCTTAAAAGAGTCATTTGGACTGTGAGATAGCTCAGTCAGAGCTCACACAAGCAGGAGGACCTGAGTTCAATATCCAGAACCGGAGTGTAAAAGCCAGGCATGGTAGCCCGTGTTAGTGACCGATGAGTTCCAAGCGAATGTCACAAGACACGGGGTGGCTGGCTCTTGAGCAAGTGCCCGCCCTCTTATGCACACCCCGTATCCACACACACCTACATACGTGGACTTAGACACACGAACACAAAAATTGTTTTGAAAATTTTGAGGTGTCTGAACTACAATCAATTTTTAAAATATGGAACTTCCTAAATTATAACTACAAGCTAGGTTTAGTTACTTGAAGAAATACTTTCTTCTTCCTAAGGAGGCAGATGACTCTCTACAAAGACTACCCTGGACTACTGCTGTGCAAGAAGGGAGGCGGCAACCATGAGAGCAGGTAGCCCGACAGCTGGGGAAGTCACTATGAATCTGAAGACCGCCCGTTCCTCACTGCTCTTACCAATTTTCAAATCGCCAGCCAGACTTTCCTTTGTGAGATGCAACAGTTCTTTTCCGTCAATGTTGTTCATCTGGAAAACGCCGACGAGCTCTTCCAAGCCTTGAGCACGGAGCCATGTTGAGACGTCCTCCTCTGACCAGTCCTCAATCAGTGGCTTCTGCTGATCGCTCGTGCTTCCTGCTTTAAACGCACAGGCCGAGTGAACGGCAAAGCCAATGCTTCTCCTCTCCACATTCCCGCCTTGAGTCTGGTTGACTGTTCAGCTTCCTTTTAAGAACTGTCATGGACAGTACTAACAGTGGCGACCTAATGCTACAGGAAATGCTAGCCTTTAACAATTTCCTTCTCACTGCAGAGAGATGTTTCTGCTTTTGTGGCGCTCGGGATCAAACCTTGCGCCTTGTGCATGCTAGCCACACACTCTAGCACTAACCTACACTTCTGGCCACTTTTTCTTCACTCCAGCCATGAAGGGACACTCTGCTTGCTCTGTCACCCACATACCAGCACTGCTGTGTAGTTACTTCTGACAGTGATAAAGGTGTAACTCCTACGTTGTACACCTGTGTTGCCTGGAGAGGCCAAAAGGAGAGGCCACAAGATAAAGCTGGGATTCCGATCCTGTCCTCAGGCTACATTCACAGGGAAACCTAGCACCTAACACAAACAATGGAAAACCCCAGGGGCCCTGATATACATGAATGTGCACACAAGCCTTTGCCAAAACTTCACTGTAAACACCTCTAATGCCAGAGTCTCTAAAATTAGTCTTAAGGTGTATTAAATTTGAGTCTGTACAGTATAATATGAATAGCATGTCAAGGATTTACTAAAGTTTAGACTTGGGGGTTGTAGCTCTGAGGTAAAGCACTTGCCTAGCATGCACAAGGTCTCAGGTTCAATCCCCAGGACCACAAAAAAAAAAGTACCTAAATTTTCTGATCAGTGTTGAGATGGTTAAGGGTGCGCAGCGCTTGGGCTGTAGCTCTGCCTTGCAGAGAGCACTTGCCCAGCAGGTCCCGAGGCCCTGGGTTTGCGGGCAGCACAGGACAGGGATGGGGTCATCTCACTAACCTTGGCAAGGTGTTTCCAGGTCAAACTCCCAAATGTTCAGAGTCTTGTCCATGGAGCCAGTAGCAAGTAACAGGGTGTTGGGTGCAAAGGCACAAGTCGTGACATACCTAGATAATAAACACAGCCGTTATGTGTTTATGTCTGGCTAGTATTTTAGTTAGGTTAGAACTGTGAAGTAACTCAGACCTGGTATGCTGCGTCAATGTGTACAGCACACTCTGGGTGCCCTGAAACAGAACAGAATAACTTCATCAGTCAGGCAAGAGACAAGGTCGGGATGAAGGTCACTGACAGGTCTACGTGCTGAAGGCATCATTAGCAACTAACTTGCTGAGGCTGACAATGAGGGAGAGCTGACATCCATAACTAAACATGAGAGCTTGTTCTGCTTTCTCAGGCATCAGCATGGCGGCCGGCTGACGACCTCCTTTGGAAGTTTTCCTACAGTGACCCCTGACATCTGTCAGTTTGACCAAGACTGTTAATAGAAACCCAACTGCATAATAAACGAAGGTGCAGTCTTGCTGTGGCATCTGATGTGTACTTATTGCAGGATCGGTGAATGGAAGCCGCTGATACCCTGAGTACACTTGGGGGCCAGTCAATGGGCAGGTATTTTCCTAACTAGGGTTCCTATGGATGTGATAAAACACCATTTCCAAAAGTAACCTGGGGAGGCAACAGTTTATTTCACTTACACTTCCAAATCACAGTCTATCACTGAGCAAAGTCAGGGCAGGAACTGAGACAGAAAAGGCCATGGGGGAGTGCTACTAACTGGCCAGTTCTCCATGGCTTGCTCTGTCTGCTTCCTTACGACCTAGCACCATGGCCTCAGGAGTGATCCTTTCACATCCAGCATTAAGAAAATCTGCCCAGGAGCTGGAGAGATGGCTCAGCAATTAAGAGCACTAGTTGTTCTTCCAGAGATCCAGAGTTCAATTCCCAGCAACTACATGGTGGCTCACAACCATCTATAATGGTATCTGATGCCCTCTTCTGTCATGCAAACAGAGCACTCATATACAAAAAATAAAATCTTTAAAAAAAAAAAAAAGAAGAAGAAAGAAAAAGGTGCCTGACAGAATTGCCTACAGGCCATATGCTGAGGTATTTTCCCAATTGAGGTTGCTCTTCCCTGCTTACCTAGTCAGGACAAGTGTATTTAACAGGAACCAGTGCATGTTTTATAGACAAAAATCAATGTTATACCTATTTGTGAATATAGACATCCCATAACAAGCCGGTAAAAAACAACACAGCTTTTTCATCTGGCTTGAGTGTTTGAGGGTTTGTTCCCACTTTTTGCCAGAACCTCCAATGACTTTAACTCCTGTGTGGGTGACTAGGCACTTGTTGGACACCACTCCCTAATGACGTACACCTCCACTGAAAGGCTGCCATAGCTGATGCCTGAACCCAGCTGTGCAGCGCCACACAACACCAATTTTCTCTTAAAGATCATTCCCATCAACTATATCTTTATGAAATATAAAGTTTACACTTTTATTTATACTCATGCAATTCAGCATTTACTCATATAAATCTGCCCCAAACTCCTATTTTCTAAGTCTATGGTACCTTAGACTTGTCTTATGCTGGTCCCTAAATCCACCCTGTACTCTAAGAACTATAGGTAGGTAGGTCACATCCATGCTGCTATGGAAACAGGCTATTTCTAAGATTAGATTTAAAACTCCATCCATCATAAAGACATTATTGAAATATTTAAGGTTTTTCCAAGTATCTTACTATTTCACCATTGTGAGAACGAATATTATATTCTTGGGTACAATAAATAGATATATTAAAAATAAACCTATTTTATACAACTAAATTTGAAGCTCAATTATCTCATAAACAATTTATATAGTTTCCATACAAGATCTGAAGTACTTACGATATCATATATGATGACAGACTTATCCACTGACCTTTAAAAAAAAAAAGCAAACACTAGGTGAAAAGTTCTATAAAAACCAAACACACCCTCTTGGAAAAGGCTGGAAGATTGACAGGTTATCAGCTAGAATGGAGCGGACATCTGGGGACTCTTCTTGTAGGAAAAAGAACTGTAATACAGAGAAACTATGGCACTGTAACAAAGCACAGGGTTTTCACAATAAGTTAAAACATGCTGTTTTTTCTTCTGTTCCACCCTTGGAAGAGTCTTTCTGCTACCATGGTACACACTGCAAGGTCACCCAGACCAGTGCTAACACTGCCTGTGGGACACTAACATCTGTGTTCATCATCATGAAAACGGAATGGGCTATAGTCAAAGGAGTCCTACCTGTTAGCTTAAGGTTCCTGTTCAGTAGGGAACTGAATACCATCAATGGGTGCTGACCTCAGAATCTCTGTCACAGATTCAGAATAAGAATTATACTAGACATAATATATAAACGCTCTTATTTAGTCCTGAATTCAGTAAATTACAGGTTATCATTTCTGGAATATCTAAAATTCTTATGGAAAATTCCATATTTTTTTAGCATCTCTTAAAAAAACACTAAGGAGTGACATCAGCAACATGGTGGATGGAAATTCCCAGTTTCATAGCAACATCAATGTGGACAACTATCCAAGAAAAAACATTACCTGCACAGGAGCTTTGAAACTCAGGTATGCTGCTTAGAGCAGCATGAACGGACGTCAGCACCATAGTAAACATGAAAGACGTCAGGAAAGACAAATGAGAGATCCATCAGCCGACACACACACACACACACACACACACACACACACACACACACACACACACACACACCCATTTAAACTTCTAATGGAACGAAAGCCAGAATCACGTGCAGTTGCTCCGAGCCCATTCATGGTAAGTTTCTATTGAAAACAATCCTCCCGCCTGGTCCTCATGACACTTTGTCTCCCATCTACACATTCTCTGGATGTCACGCTGACAACCAGCCGAAAAGGAAATTCCACTCTCAGAAACCACCATCGGAGGCAATGTCACTTGGGAAGAAGAGTCACTGTTGGTGACTTCTGTGAGCACTGGGTCGGGACAACTGTCCGTGAAGGTGTGAATGAGAAGCAAGGGAAGACAGGGACGAGTTTTAGGAAATGTCCTAAGTCACCCTCTGCTAGTCATTACGGAGTAACGGGGTTGGCCGCTTCCTAACAATAAGACCCCAGCCTCTATGACAGAACTGGTTTCTATTATAGAAACCAGTGCCCTGGCAGGGAGAAAAGGAACTTGTCTTTGGGAAGAAGACTTGGCTTCCCGGCTCTCTTCCCTACTTGGCAGACAGAGATAAGAGACGACTAGAGTTTGGAGAAAGGCCATGTGCCTCGTGGCTCAGCTCCTGGTGCATTTTCTAGTTTTCTGACCTGCCTAATTATGGAAGTGTGGGAGCCATGCTGCCCAAAAGGTGGAGAACAAGTTAAGACACGGCATCTATTTTTTTTTCTTTCTCATTATTTTTCAACACGAGAAAATAAGCATCTTTTTTTTTTCAACTCAAAACTCTTTACATATTTGTGAGCACTTTCAAAACTGGCTCCATGGAGTCCTAGCTACTCAAATACCATGGAGAGGAGCAGTCTCTATCTGAGTTATAAAGGTGGGGTTTGTGCTCAGTAGAAACTGTGACATATAACACTCCTTACATCTGGCTAGATCAAGAGAACAGGGTGGAACAAAATGCAAGTTCTGCAGAGGGGCTGAAGGGAAGTCACCACAGGGGAGGCCAGAAGAAGGGTGAAGGGACAAACTTCTTCATGCTTTTCTAGATGTCATGTGCTAGCAGCACAGCCCTGAGGCAAATGAGGTATGCGAAGCAGGCATGAACACCCAAGTGCCTCTGGAAGCCAGGCACTGGGAAGGTCTTTACTCTTGCTATTGACTACTTTAAAGTTTCCTTTGAAAGTATGCAAATATGTGATAAGTTTATTATAACCACCCCCTCAGTATCTGAGGGAGAAGAAGGGTGATTCCAAGCCACCTCTAGGTTCCACACATAACAAAATCTTCAGTGCTCAAGTCCCTTATATAGTCCTGGAACTCACTCTGTAGACTAGGCTAGCCTTGAACTCACAAAGATCCGCCGGTCTCTACCTCCAGAATGCTGGGATTAAAGGTGTGTGCTACCACCGCCTAGCCAGAAATGTATTATTTTTATGTCATTAAAGTGAATCTGACTCTAAGACCCATCCTGCTTGGCTGGTAAGAGAGCCAACTACCATTTCAGCAATGCCCATCACCTTCCCAGGGCCAGAGACGCTCAAACTTCTAGCATAACCTGAGCTCCCTCAAAATCAGGACTTATTTATCTTATTTGAGACAGGATCTCATACTGTACACTGGGTGGGCCTTAAAACTCCAGGCAATCTGCCTGTGCTGTCTCTCAAATCTGGGTTTGTAGGTGTGAACCATGATGCCCAGGTAAGACGGTTGTTGTCTTCCTCAGTTTCCCCACAGGAGCTAGACTAAGAAGGATGGTACTCAGGCCCCTGTTTCCCACCCCTGGAAGGTGTAACAAGAAGCCAGCTTTTGAAACTTCTCTGCCAGCTAACTATCTGTACATTTTCTACCTTTCATTCCATCCTTTTCATAAATTGTCAGGCTGCTGTGGGGGAGGCAGAGACAGAGTTCCCTCCCCAGTTTTTGGCCCAAACTGTAAATAAATCCACTTTTCCATTTAACGTATTTCAACTTAGAGGAAGAAGGGTTTACTGGGTTAGTTTACTGTTGCCTGCAGAGAAGCATGTGAGGAGATGGAGGCTGCTCTTCATCCTTAGTGGACAGAAAGCTGAGAGAATGGGCTATAGGAAGAGGCCAGGGACAGGTATGACCCTAGGGAGAGCATGACCCCCAAGAACTTATCGCCCCCCTGTGACCTGCTTCTTCTAACTAGGCTCCACCTCTCCTTTTCCCACCTCCCAGAAATACTGTCATAGTATAAGTCCGCCATGAATAATCCAGTGGCCGGAGCCCCTGTGTTCTGCCTCTGAGGACTAGGCACCATCCCGACACACTCGGAGGTGTGGGTTCCTGACCCTGTGGGGGCCTGCCTCTGCTTTCCGGCCTACTACTGCTCTAGCTTGTTTGTTCTTTTTATTTAAAGACACTCAATCTCCTAAAACTTTTATTATATGTACATGCCTGTGTGTGTGCACCACATGTGTGCCCCCAAATATTTGGATTGGGCCACAACTTTTGGGACAGGAAAGAAAACAGATGAATGCAGTAATCTGATTTCAGGATTATGGAAACTGAAGAAGAGATATGGACTTCTGTAAAGTTATGGAGTGGAAAATTAAGTATAGAACACAGAGAATCATATGCTATTTCATTTCAAAACAAATATTATAAACAAAGGCAAATGGATGAATTTTCTCAGAGGACTTTGCTAGCCATAGTGCATACTAAAACTCAAGAATATTTAGGCAATAAAGCAAAGCTTCTCCCACTCTAAAAACACCAACTTGAAAAACTAATGGTGTGTAACTCAGTGGCTGAGTGCTTGTCTACCATGGGCAAGGTTCTGAGTGGATCCCTAACATTGCCAAGAGAAGACAAAGTTAACGTCAAGTGAGGCCCAGAGAGATGGCACACTGTTCTTGCAGAGGACCTGAGTTCAGCACCCAGAACCCACACAAGGTAGCTCACAATTAGCAGGGGTTTCTGATACCTCTAGCCTCCTCAGGTACCTGCACTCACACACACATACCCTCATACACTCACACGCACATACCCTCATACACTCACACGCGCATACCCTCATACACTCACACGCGCATACCCTCATACACTCACATGCGCATACCCTCATACACTCACATGCGCATACCCTCATACACTCACATGCGCATACCCTCATACACTCACATGCGCATACCCTCATACACTCACATGCGCATACCCTCATACACTCACATGCACATACTCTCATCCACTCACATGCACATACCCTCATACAATCACACTCATACACAAAATTATAAATAATAAATCCTAAAGTTAACGTCAGAGGAGTATGGAGCCTGTCTTACTGAAGTATCTAGGAACTTTTTTTAATCTAAACAACAAAGGAATCATATCTTTTATTTTTGTTTGAAAATAGGCTAATTGTCAAACTATAATATAAATTTTATGAAAAAATATTATAAAGTAATTGAATCAAGCATGTGTGTTCAAATCAAACTTCCTAAGATCAAGCTTCGAAAAGGAATGCTCCAACTGAGAACAGGAAATCACAAAACTGGTCAAAAGAGCCTTAAACAGCCAATTAGAAACTGCAGAGGCACAGTTTAAGCAAAACTAAGTCAGAAGACTATTAACTGTAGCAGAGTAGGGGGCTGGAGAGGTGGCTCAGCAATTCACAGCACTGGCTGTTCTTCCACAGGACTTGAGTTCGATTCCCAGCACCCACATGATAGATCACAACCATCCCCAACTCCAGCCCCAGCACATCTGACATGTGCACTTGGTACACTTACATACATGTGGGCAAAACATTCATACACATAAAAACATACATAAACAAACATTAAAATAAAGTTAAACAAAACTAAAAAACTTTTAAGTAGCACAGTTAGCTGAAGAGAGCATCAGTAAAGGGGAATCAAGAACGAAGGATAAAAAGACGAACTGGCCGGAGAGACGGCTCAGCAGTGAAGAACACTGGCTGTTCCTGCAGAGGACCTGGGTTTGGTTCCTGGCACCCACAGACAGGGTGACTCGCAACCAGCTGTAGCTCCGATCCCAGGGGATCTGATGCCCTCTTCTGGCTTCTTTGGGCACCAGGCATACACATGGTACATGGACATATAGGGAGGCAAAACATTCATACACATAAAAATACATAAAAAAATGTAGAAGACATAAACAATAAAAATAAGAAAGACTAAAAGAGAGAACGTTTACAGTCGGAAGGTACAATCTGCACTTAACTGGCACCTTAGAGGACAGAGAAAGGGACAAGGGCAATAACAGAAGAGGTAAGCATTTTCAGAAATGGAACGTTCTTCTACAGATTTAAGAAGCTCAAAGGATTCCTGGCATGGCTGGTCACTGTGGTTTGTACTATGCAATCTCAGTATTCAGGAGGTACAGGTAGAAGATCACCAAGAGTTCAAGGCCAGCCTGGTCTACACAGCAAGTTTCAGCCACCCAGTGCTACACATGAGACCCTGTCTCAAAAAGAATTCCTGGCCCAGCAAGATGGCTCAGTGGGTCAAGGTGCCTGTTGCCAAGCCTGAGGAGGTTGTGGGATATTTAAGTACACTGTGTGAAAGGCACCTTCTGATTGGTTTAATAAGGAGCCGAATGGCCAAGTGCTAGACAGGAGAGGAGAGGCAGGACTTCCGGGCAGAGACAGGAACTCTGGGAAGAAAAGAGGCGGATATCTCCAGCAAGATGCAGAGGGAGTCAGATGTACAGCATGGAGGAGAGGTAACGAGCCACATGGCAGAACACAGATTAACATAACAGACTAATTTAAGTTTTAAGAGCTAGTTGGGAACAAGCCTAAGCTAAGGCCAAGCTTTCGTACTTAATACTAAGTCCCTGTGTCATTACTTGGGAGCTGGCAATCGAAAGAAAGTCCAACAACATGAGGATTGAGTTAAATCCCTGGTACCCTCGTGGTAAAGGGAGAGAACCCACTCCTGCAGGCATCCTCTAATTTTCACACAGAGCACATCCCCCCCACCCTCACCCCCCAAATTAGTTTTTTAAAAAATTCCTAGCAAGCTAAAAATTAGCCCACATGTAGTTCTATCAAAGTGAATGTACAGAAAACCACAACTAAAAGTTTTATGAACATCTAGAAGAAAAAAACATGAATCACATTCAAAATGGTGAGATTGAAAAGTAACCTTCTCTACAGCCATACACCGTATAAATAAGCCCAACCTGTCTGCTGCACCAAAGCAAGGTTTAAGTTGGAAGTGAGTGTGATTCACCTGCGATCATCTTGAGATGAAGGGGGAAATATCCATTACTGAAATAGATCACAGCCAAGTTCTCACCTCATTGCTTTGAGGAAATACAAACTAACCATGCTAAGGCGGCACCATACCACTCAATGGTTAAAATTTAGAAGACCCAAAATATGAAGCATAGGAAAGGAGGCAAAAACACTGGGCTGGTGGAATGGCTCAGCAGGTAAAGATGATTACCACCAAGCCTGATGATCTGAGGTCAAGCCCTGGAACCCACACCATGTAAGCTGTGCTCTGCCCTGCGCACACATACTGTGGCACGCGCATGCTCACACAATGAATAGCTGAATGTAAGCAAAACAACGACAGAGGGAGCTTCCAGAGCATCAATGGTTTCGTTATAGATCGCTTACCCTGACACAAGCATCTGTCCATCGTAGGAAAAAGCACAAGTCAGAACAGGGGCACAGTGCCCACGTAGTGTACTTTTATATTTTAATTCAAAGCCTGTAATTAACAAGGTGAGAAAATTAGTAAGTTGATTATGCGTACAATTTCATTTCTCTACTTAATAATGTGAGTAACAAAAAGACAAGGTCATAAAAATCTTCATGCAGCTTAGGTTTCCACATAGATAGCAGATAATTATACCGTAGGTTTGAGATGGTTTCAACACTCAGTAACAGCTGGAGGTGTAGTCCTGAGTCTAATCTCTAGCTTACACAAACACACACACACACACACACACACACACACACACCACACATACACACACATATACACACAACACACACACACATATACACACCACACACACATATACACACAACACACACACACAACACACACATACCACACACATACACTCACACCACACACACACACACCCATACACCACACATACATATACATAAACACACACTCCACACATACACGCTTCAATAATAGATTTTTTTCTTATAATCCATTAAATCCAATTAGTGCTGCCAATGGCAGATTTTGTTTTAAATTGATGCAAAGACTAGGCTAGCGCAATTTTATAATCACTAAAATTTTTAAACATGTGAACTATGCATAATTTTAATGCTTGGTAAGATTAAAAAAAAACAAAACAAAACAAAAAACCTGCCTAAAAGCCTAAAAAAAAAATCAGTGCTTGTATTTTGTGAAGTCTGACATTATCAACACATTTTGTCTTTCTGTACATAAATCAATGGTATTTATAATCCTGTAAATCTACAACATCTCCAGTCATAGCCAGGCATGGTGGTGGCACACTCAGGAGGCAGAGGCAGGCGGATCTCTGTGAGTTTAGGGCCAGCCTGGTCTACAGAGCAAGTTCCAGGACAGCCAGAGCTACACAGAGAAACCCTGTCTTGAAATAAAGGGGGAAAAAAGGACAACCATAAAATCTTTAGAATTACAGAAAATAAACACAACTCTCTTAAAAGTCAGCAGACGGAATTCGGTGTGTTCTGATGCCAACAGGTAGAAACAACCGTAAGAAGTTATGGAGTGGTGAGATCTAAGATCTCTGCTGAGGTGTCAGAAATCAAACGTTTAACCAGACAAGAAGGCTCACACTCAAAGCGGGACAGACGCGTTTACCTGGGAGAGCAGAGAGGAGCATTAAGACGGCGGCAGATCCCAGAACCTGGGTGAACTTTGAAAGCTTTCATGCCAACAGTCAAACACAAGTCAGCTGCACATCCCAGGTGACCGCGGAACTCGTCCGTGAGAACGGCTCCTGAGTCCAGGGCCTAGGTCTGCCTGTGCCCCACAATACCATGAAGCCGAGTAAGGGGCCTACAGTGACAGATGCTGTCTAAAGAGGCTTTCCCTGCACACCCAAGAGGTCCCCCATGTTTCTTAAAGAGTGGTGTAAAGATAGTTTACAATGGATCACAGGTTTTCCTTTTGAACAATTTCAAGGTAATTGTATTCAGGATGCCCACACGTGACTGTATTTGTATTTTGTACCAGAATTTTACCTGAGTAAAGAAAGGGATAAGGATTATCTTGGATAGACTTGAGAAGGAAGAAGTCCCACCTCCCCATCATGTTCTAGATGAAAAGGATATTACATGTAAACTAGCATGAACAGTCTCTTCGTTCCTCATGAGGCTCTTCCTTACACTCTAGAACAATTCATGGCAAAACCGTAGTTTGTATTCTAGCTGAAGCTTATTAGGTAACAAATGACAACCCATTTTGAGGCATGTGGATCAAAAAGCTGTTTGACCACAATGCTTTAAAATCCTTAAATGATAATTGATGAATTTGTCAAGATATGAATGCAAACAGTGCCTGGGAAGGAGACATCCACAGAGAAGCTGAACCAATCGTGGAAGGTCAGAAAACAGGCTGACTGATGGGCGAACAGCCCAGTGCAGAGGGGCTAACCCTGAAGAGGACGCATTCCGTCCCAGGAAAGCCTTTCAGATAGGACGGACCATCAACAGCCAGGGAAACAAGGTCAGAACCGAAATGATTACCCCAGAGTCTGAACAGGAAACACTCACCGTCTGCCTCAATCCCTCCTGGCCCCCACCCCACAGTAGGCTGCACCAGGCAGGCGATTTTCCCCAGGAGCAACCTATATAAGGAAAATGGCAGCTGATGACAAGACATCCACCTGGCCTCAATTCCTTCCCAAGAAGGCAAACGCACCTCTTCATGCTACAGGCCTTGAGGGCAGTGAGCTCCTAAGATCCTTGCTGTCAACTCTCTAGATGTAAACAGTGTCACTGGACATCTAAAGGAAACGATGTGGAGGAGACAAATGTAGGCAGGCATAGACGGAGCCAAGGGGTTATGAGAATAGAATTTGAAAAATTCTTCCTTGTCTCATTCATTAAAACAACAACAAAAACCAACTATAAAAAAAAAAACCAAAAGGCCAGTGAGATAGCTCAGGGGTAAAAAGGTGCTTGTCACAGAAGTCTGAGGAGCTGAGTTCAGTTCCTAGAACCGACGTGAAGGTGGCAGAAACCACCTCCAGTTTTCCACTGGCCTCCACACGCATACCATTCGTGCCCCACCCCCATAACAAGAAATAACTCTTAACATATATTTATTTTATTTTTAATTATATATACCTGAGCGTGTGGGGATACAAGCATGTGAGTACAGGTGCCCTGTGGGTACCTGTCAGCCATCCTACACGGGGGTTAGAAACCGAACTCAGGCCCTCCTCAAGAGCAGTAAGCACAGTGCACCACTGAGCAATCTCTCCAGCCCCAATAAGTAACCTTAGAAAAAAATGAAATGACTTAAAGATGAACTTTTAGAAATTGATGAGATCGATTCAAAAAACTGAAAGTGAATGATTTCCTCAAAAAGTAAAAAAAAATACAGATTCAATAGATTGAGAGATGAATTTGTGTGTGGCTGGGAGAATCCATTCAAGGCCTCCAACAGCCAACTGACGGAAGTTCAGAAAGACAGCACAGGAGAGGATCATTAGAGACACGATGAAGGAATACCGTAGCCCAACGCAGACCACCACACGTGTCCTGACTGAAAGACCACCTGAGAAAATGAGACCGAGCATGAGGAAGACTCACTCATCAATAAACAGCAGCCACGATAAATAAACGCAAAGGTGATGTACGCAACGTTTAGCAAGAGTGTGAAAGCCACTGGAAGAGTCAAAGCTAAGTCAAGGACAGCGTGGCAGGGGCAGGGTGTGGTCAGAGCCAGATGTGGACAACAGACTTTTACATCCAATCAAAGCCTCTCTTTGCTTCCGAGGTTGGTCTGTCACAGCCCAGGCTGGCCTTGTCCATGTTACACAGCTGAAGCTGGTATTGAAGGTACTCATCCTCCTGCCTCCGTCTCCTGACAGGGTGTTTTTTTTTGTTTTTCGAGACAGGGTTTCTCTGTGTAGTTTTGGTGCCTGTCCTGGATCTCTCTCTGTAGACCAGGCTGGCCTCGAACTCACAGAGATCCACCTGTCTCTGCCTCCTGAGTGCTGGGATTAAAGGCATATTTTTACTATTATTTAAAATATCCAGAGTATCTTAAGTTTTAAGAAAAAGATTAAAGTCTTCTGCAGGTCACAAATAATTCAGACAGTTAAGACATACCTAAGACAGGGGTAAAAGAAACAACCCAGAGTTTGATTTCACAATCCTGACCACTTGATGCCAATCGGTAAAACTGAAGGCCGTGTTCTCCACCTAAAAACAGCAAGTTAGATAAACAAAGAATTTGTAAACCAAAAGTTTTGATTCTGCTGAGATCTGCTAATGTGACTCGTCTATGCCATGTAAACAATGAATATTTGTCAGCTGACACTATCGATAAAATGGTTACAGAATTTCTTCTAACCAGGTATTATATAGGATTGTAACTTTACTCTGAAATTGCTAGGTTTTTTGTTTGGTTTGGTTTGGTTTGGTTTGGTTTTTTTGAAACAGGGTTTCTCTGTGTAGTTTTGGTGCCTGTCCTGGATCTTACTCTGTAGACTAGGCTGGCCTTGAACTCACAGAGATCCGCCTGGCTCTGCCTTCCAAATACTGGGATTAAAGGCTGAAATTGCTGTTTTAAAAAAGTCCTTGGCCAGGTGATGGTGGTGCACGCCTTTAATCTCAGCGCTTGAGAGGCACAGCCAGGTGGATCTCTATTATTCGAGGCCAGCCTGGTCTACGAGTGAGATCCAGGACAGGCACCAAAACTATACACAGAGAAACTGTCTCAAAAAAAACCAAAATAAAATAAAATAAAATAAAAATGTCCTTTTAGGTTATAGCTCAAAGCTGTAAAAACCAATAACCACCAAAGTAGAACATCTTCCAGTTGAATTTTAGAGGCTATGAAGCTATCATTAAAGAAAAAAATTAGAAAAGTCAGCTATTTTAAGAATGTTAAATGGTTAATCACACCCAACATAAATGCTTTCTGAAGTACCAAGTTCTTAAAAGGCTGCTGTAATGCACATGGAATAATAGTGAAAATTTATTTTCCAATGGATTTGATCAAGAGGAAAATTTGAATTTATATAAATATAAAACCATATCAATTCAGCTGATCTGGTGGAAAATATTACACAGTTTAGGATAATTAATCAAATCAAGTTGGCATCTCCTATGCCGCTAGATAATGTTTTCTTAGAGAATTCAGAATTTCATTATGTATCTACTAGACTAAATCCCCATCTTGCGGACTATCATATAAAATCTGTGTGCTTTCCCACCGAGTTGCTACCCTATTCATGGGAGCCGATCAGCAGTGTGTTCTAAACCCCAGTAAACTTTTCTTTCTACCCACAGGGTGGTCCAGTTCAGTGGCTTCACTGTACCCTCTCTCACAATTATCTAGTGCAACGATGATATTTTTAGATTATCCCCTTGCGCAAAAAAGAAATCTAAATTCCTCCATATTTATACAACTCATCCATGATTCAATGTGTGAAAAACAATGTTTCCTATCAACGATGGCTAGCCCACCATCTTGTGAAAGAAAGTCTTGTGTGACTGTCTGCCCAACCTCCACATGCCAGGCACTCCTGACACCTGGCCCCTTTCTTTCCCCTTCAGAGGTGAGACAAGGTCACCCCCCTGTGGTAGGGTAAAAGCTAAGTATTCTTCCCACCATGCTGTGTGCGATCTCAAACCTCCTTGCCTAGACAGTGTGACTCTTTGTAATGCTCTTTTTCAACAAGGGAGCGCCTCAAAGATGTGGAGAAGGTGCCTCAAAAATGGGCAAAATGGTTCCTGTCTATTATAAACCATCCTGGGAATAAAACAGCACAAAATGATCATCAAAAGACTAAAATGCTTAACTAAACTGGGTAGAGAATTTAACAGAAGAATGGATTCAAGAAAAAAAAATCTATGAACCTGATATATAATGTCAAAAGGTTAAAAAAGAAAAGATTTCAGCTAATCAAGCAATCCTCAGCAGTCAAGGTCTGGTGTCTGTCTAGGTGAAGGGCCCCCCCGGGGAAACTGCTTGAAAACCAAATTCAATACAGTCAAGGAATGGAGACAGGCTGTGTGCTAAGAGATGTCCGAAGCCAGGACTGATCTTCAATTGGGTTAGGTACAACATGCTAAGAAGGCACTTAAAGACTGTGCTTTAGGGATCTGAAATTTGACCTTCGCTGTCTTTGAGCCATTGAGGGCTCTGGAACAAGGGCAATGCCGAAGCCATTCTGTCTGTTGTCTGTGCCAAGCTGCCAACAACACAGCCAGCCCCAAGTGGGTACTGAACCCCATGTTACACATGCCAATGTTCAAAGGCTTCATTTAACACAATGGTCCTCAGTCTTCCTAACGCTGCGACCCTAAATACAGATCCTCATGCAGTGGTGACCCTCAACCATGAAATTCTTTTTGTTGCTACTTCCTAACTGTAATTTTGCTACTGTTATGAATCGTAATGTAAATATTTTTGGAGACAGAGGTTTGCCAAAGGGTTCACAACCCACAGGTTGAGAACTGCTGGTATAATAAAAAGGGAAAATGTTTTGTTAATTTGGATCTGTTCTCATTCAAACAACATTATAGGTAATGGGTTGAACATACTTGTCTGCCAGAAAAAGTTTAATTTACTTGTGCGGTTCCGTTGTTGCCACAGATCGCTCTGATCTGAGGACAAGACCAGAGAGGGCAGAGGCAGAGTTTCTCCTCTGACACAGGCCTTGAACCAGACCGATGACTCTATGCAATGGACACCTGCAAGCAGACGTATGGGCAAAGGGGTTTACTGCGTGACATTCTGTGTCACACTGCAGCTTCCAGGACGAGATGTTTTTCATTTTTTTCCTCTTAAATTTTGTTTTATTTGGGGGTGTATGTGCAGGGGTGGAAGGCAGGTGTGAAGGGACAGGAAATGAATGGCCTCAGATACATGATGTAAAAGACACAGGATAAATAAAAAGAAAGGAAAAAGAAAATGAACAGGGCTAATTGTTCAAGCCAATGTCTCCATTTAAAACCAAGAGTTTAGTTAGGACTTCTTGTCCCTCTTTTTAAAAAATTAGTTATGTTGTCAAACATCTTAATCAGTTTTTGGAAGATTAAATTAGTAAAGGAAAAATGTTCCTTCTATTTCCAACCTGGTGTGTGTACATGTTTGTGTGTGCACATACATGCACACAAGGAACCAGAGGTCATCATCAAGTGGTTTCCTCAACTGCTTCCCACAGTTTGTGAGACAAGCTCTCTCAGTCAATCTGGACCTGCTGATCGGGTTAGGCTCCTACCTGCACACCCCAGACACCCTCCAGTGCTGAGACTTCGGGAGCACACACCATTGCGTCTGGATTGCTGTGTGGTGGTGTGGTGCTGGAGATCCACACATGTCCCCCGACTTGCACAACAAGTTCCTTATCAACTTTATCTCCCCAAACCTTTCCCAATTTGTAAATTTCCCATTTCTAAGCCAGGCGGTGGTTGCACACACCTTTGAGGCAGAGGCAGGGGGATCTCTGAGTTTGAGGCCAGCCTGGTCTACACAGTGATTTCTAGGACAGCCAGGACTACACAGAGAAACCCTGTCTTGAAAAACAAAAACAAAAACAAAAACAAAAAAACAAAAAAAAAGAAAGAAAGAAAAAAGAAAAGAAAAAGAAAAATTTCTAATTTCTATCTCAATTCCAATTTTAAAAAAAAAGACAGTAAAAGCAAAAGTTAAGTCTGTGAAAATCCCATATTCAAAGAATCTCAATCTACTGTAACAAGCAGAAATGTCCTGTACAGACAAAAAAAAAAAAGACATTTTTTCATGTAACAGCTCTTCACAGTTCATTTTGATCTCGAAAGACAAAGGATGGTTCTGTAATAGAATGGAGAGACCCTCAATACTAATGCTGGGATGGAAACGCAAAGGACCAAGTCAGAGGAATTACAAACAGGGATCCTGTGCTTAAAAGGGTGAGCTGACCAACCAGAAAGGGGCCGTGGGGAAAAGTCACAGCAGGTAATCCCCAGGTCGTGAGCTTTCTCATTGTGCAGACACCTCATTCGATTATCCCACGCTGTTAAATCTCCACCAGAGGAGCCAGTGACAAGGAGGCTTCCATCAGGAGAGAATGCACAGGCCACCAAGGAGCCATCCTTGACACCACCACACCTGAAACCAAAGCAAAACAGGAGGAGATGAGGTGTTCTTTATATGACAGACAGTCCCTTTTACAATGACAGCAGTTACGACAACCAGAATGGGTGACTGATGCCCACCAAATAAAGCATCTCGTGCTATAAACCGACCGACAGGGAGGATTTAAATCTATTAGCTATACCTATGAGCCCAGATCACAGGGACCAGAGTCACTACAATCCTCATCTTTATATCCTCATAGCAAGTCAACATGAACACACTGAAACCCCAAAACCTAAAAAAGTGAAAAACAACCAAGAGTAACAATGGCCCTATTTAAAATACACAGAATGATTTTTACTGAAAAGACACACTATTATGATCAAAAGCACATTCAATTTCTGTACTGACATCACTCAGGTAATAGTGCCTCATCTTCAAACAAACTCTATGAAGAAAACATGTGGTGTGGCGCAGTGCTTCTCTTGGGAAGAGGGCAAAAGTGCTGTCCTGGTAACACTGTTCGTCAGGTAGGTAAACAAACTGATTAGGACCCAGCTATTAGTGCAGTATTAATCACGGGCAGGAAGGAAGCTGTGCCACAGAGGTGGAAATCACAAACCTGGCTAGCTAACCACAGGCGTTCATTTCTATAAATCAGAGACATCGCATTCATTCTGAGCTGCCTGATTAGACTAAGCTAGCCCCCTACCATCACTTAAAAGCATCCCCTTCTTCAGCTCTGAGACCACAAAGGAGCAACAGTCTTTGACCAGCTGGCCTCCTGCTCTGCAGATGCCATGCAGGAAGAACATTATTAGATTATTTTCATTGTCGACATAATGAAGGCTATGTTTCTAGTGTACTTAACAATCTCAACTAAAATGGTCAACTGTGTGTCTATTTTACCACAGTAAAAAGTAAAACCTAATTTTAACAGGGTTCCAGCCAGGCAGGGTTTAAACAGCCATACCTATATAATTTGTATGACTGTGCATTCCACAAGACAACAGATCCATCAGCGGCCCCTGAGGCCAGGTAAGCCGAGTCCGGCGAGAAGCAGCAAACCCGCACGGGGCTGCCCCCCGGCTGCTCCATCACCGTCAGGGACTGTCCGCTGTGCGCACTCCAAAGCACTGTGGTACCGTCGGTTGAACATGATGCCAAAATGTGTCCGGAGGGAGAGAAGCAGCAGCAGTGGACCGCGTAGGTGTGAAACCTCAACGGGGAGTGCGGCAGCTCCGAGAAGTCACTCAGGGAGTACAGGCGGATGGTCTTGTCCAGGGAGCAGGTAGCCAAGAGGGACGAGGAGAAGGCACAGCAGCTGACGTCATCACCGTGATCTGCCAGCGTGCGAATCAGCTTCACCATGTTCCTCACGCCACGGAAGACAGCCTGAGCGTTTGTAAACAGGTCAACGTTACGTGCCAGCCTAGGAATCAGGGAAATCCAAGTTCGGGTAACAGGATCTACCCAACGAAGACGCCCGCACCCCCATGTTGAAGGACACTTAGTACCTGGGATAATTTGAGGAGATGATGGAACAGAAAACACAAGAGTATCTCTTCTGCAGGCCATAGCCACCCCAATAGCCTCGCTTCACCTTCGGAGCCTAAAAGCTGGCCTCACTTCAAACCTGTTATTCTCAACTCAGAAACATTTCCACTCCTAACTGTGTCACAGGAGAGCCAAGGCTGTTTGCTTTACACATGAGTTATTGACGGGGGAGAAATCCCCCAAATCTCATTCAAAATGTGGTTGTGTTGTCACGGTTTGCATAAAGACACAAAAGATTTGAGGCGGGGAGACCAAGATGCCGAGAAAAGAGAGTTGGCCACACCATACACAATCCAAAAACAAAATTTAAAAACTTAAAAATTCCTCTCTATAGCTCATAAAAACATATGGTCTGATTCCTTTTTTGAAATTCAGCAATATTTATTTACAAATCTTTGGTGTTCCTGTTGTTTATTCGAGGTAAGTTTTAGATTCAATTTTTAAAACTAACATATAGTTTTATGTTTCATCATGATTATTTTCATTCAGTTTGTCTTGTTGAATTTCCCTACTTTCCTCCCTGATCTCTGAACCCTCTGGAAATAACCCCCTTCTGCCTTCATGTCATGAATTTTATACACACACACACACACACACACACACACACACACACACACACACACACGCACATACACATGCACACATATATGCGTGTGTGTGGTGTATATGTGTGTGTACAGTATATGAATGTTTTGCCTATATGCATGTTTGTGCACCACACAAGTGCAGTGTCGGCAGACACCCAGAGGGCCCTGGATTTGGCAGTTCATAGACAGTTATGAGCTGTTATGTGGGTGTTAGGAATCAAACCCGGGTCCTCTGGAAGAGTAGCCAGTGCTCTTAACCACTGGACCATCTCTCTAGCCGCATGTCATACATATTCCATTACTTTCTTCCCATCCCCTGAGTTTTCTCCCTTTTCTTGTTCTCCTTCCTAATTTTATGACCCACATATCCCCACCCGACACAAATGTAAGAATTAAGAGCCAGAATCCTAGCTTCAACTTTTCAGTTTTATGTGTTTAACTTGGGATACCTGTGGAAGCCAGGAAACTGGAAAGGGGACATTGGGAATAGGGAGACTTGAATGGCGGAGACAGAGTAGTTTCATGGGCTACTCAACATACAGTAGAGACGAGAGAAGACTGGGGCAGAAAGGGTTAAGCTGGGAGGGGGAGGGGGAGGGGATGAGAGACGGGGTTGGGGGGGTTGGGGGGATTGGGGGGGGTTAACCAAAGCAAAGGGTGTATCAAAGGCCACATGGATACCCAATTGAAAAGCATCAAAGTTTAAAGGCAGATAACTTGTATGACTAGCTAACACTGCCCTAGAGTCACTGAGGAAAAATCTGAGTGCCAGATGTGGGACACCTCCTATCTAAATTTCTTTTCCATTGTTGTGAAAAGGCACCATGACTAAGAAAACTGATGGAAGACTTGATTGCATTTTCAGAGGGTTAGAATCTGGAACCACCACAGTGGGGAGCACGGAGGAGCACGGCTGAGGCGAGTAGGCATGGCCCTGGAGCTGAGAGCTCACATCGACCCACAGGCATGAGGCAGAGAGAGAGCAAACTGGAAATGCCATGGCCTTTTGAAACCTCCAAGCCCATCCTCAGTGACACACCTCCTCCAACAAAGCCACACTCCCTAATCCTTCCTAAACAGTCCCACCAACCGGCGACCAAGGATTAAAAGATATGAACCTATCGATCGGGTCATTCTCATTTAAACGCCCACACTTCATAGCGACTGCTTGTCAGAGAAGCCTCAGGAGCCCCCAAACGGCAGGCTCTTGCCATTCCTTGGTTGTCCACTAGAATTAGACCATTAGGCTCCACTGCTGAAAATTCCACACTTGGTTCCAAGAGTCAAAGAACTTAAGCTGGAACTGACCTAGAAACCTCCTCCCTGCTGGCTAGCTTTGGGTGCCAGATGGCACTATGGAAGGCTGCTGGAGCGAAAAGACAAGTCGTACGGAGCTGAAACTCTATGAACTAGAAGCACAACCTGCCAGGCAAGATGTACCCACCAGTGTGACAGTGGTACACCTGCTATGGGCATAACCAATCTCCCTCTGATTGGATCCGTGGACAGCTGAAAAGGAGGGACTCCATGCCCAGGACTGAAAAACCTGCCCATAATCCATGCCTGGAGACGCCGTAAGTCTTTAGGGGAAAACTTACTATTGTTGTTTAGCTTAACTGACAGAGTGTCAAGCTGCCCTTCTAAACATCTATGTTCAAAACCATAGACAGATGGTACCCTCAGCCCTAGAGAAACCTCTTTGCCACGAGCAGTGGTGAATGCTGAGTCTCATGGCTACTCGAGACGCTGGGAAAAAGTAAAGCTGAGGAGTCAGCCCTGAACAAGATGCTGACACCATCCCTTCTACAGCTTAAGGAACAACCGTAGGCTGGGAACAAAAGGAACTCTAGAGGCGGTGGCCAGGTGCTTTGAAATTCCACCCTCCAGATGCAGCACAGCCTCTGTGATCATAAACTCACAGCAGCTGTGTGTGGTTCCTTGCACTGGGCCTGCAAAGGACTGGGCCCAGGAGTCAAGGATCAGGGAGCGGCTCCTGAGGCACTGCTCCTATTGGCCAATGGTAGATTCTGGGAGAAGGAGACAAGTTCACTTGTGTACCCACGGCTGCTGAGCCACGAGGCTCAAATGAATCCTTTTAAATCCACGGCCACATAGAAGGTCCTGGTAAAACTCTCAGGGGCTCATAAAACAAAAAGACAAGAAGGTGGGACAGAGTTTTGCAGGGAAAGTGGGGAGAAGGGGAGTTTGCCAGAGGGTGGGGTGGAGTCAAGGAAGGGTAAGGGATGAGAGCAGTGAGAATGCATTATGTACATATTATGTATATCAAACTGTCAAAGAACAAATTTTCAATTTCTTAACTAGCAAGTTTAACAGTTCCGGATCCACACCAGAGAAAGGCAGCATTTGTCTGAGTCTGCTTTATTTCACTTAACGGGGTCATTTCTAGCTCCATCCACTTTCCTACAAAAATCATGATTTCGTTTTTCTTTATGGCAAGGTACAATTCTATTGTGTACATGTACCAACTTTTAAAATCCATTTATCTGATGACAGACATCTAGGATGGCTCCATTTCTTGTAATATACATGTGCATGTATCTCTGTGGTAGGACTTAGGCCTTTGGGTATACAAGAAGTTGTACAGTTAGGTCATAAGTTAGCCTTCTGAGAAACATTCGGACTGATTTCTACAGTGTGCAGCCCCACTGCCAGTGACCAAGAGTCCCTCTCTCACGAAGAAGTGGGCACCTCGTCCATATTGCTCATCTCTAACCACAACAGCCAAGACCGTGCCAAGTACCTAATGTGCTCAAATAAAACGTCGCTTAGTATTTATTTTTCCAAATATAAGTGGGTTTGCCTTTAAATATTATATATGAAAACTAGCGTGAAATGACTTAGAAAACAAAGCTTCCAAAAACAAAAATCTAGCAGTGGAAAAACGAAACAATTAGAAAATAATATTGCAGGCTGGGCCTGGTGGCACTAGCCTGTAACAACAGCAGCAGCGGGGAGGCAGAGGCGGGAGGATGGGAAGTTCAAGACTACTCGAATCACCCAAAACCACACAAGGAGGTGAGGCCAGCCTAACTAGTCTCCAAAAACCCAACAAACCAACAATAATAGTGGCTGTGCCCGCCCCTAAGGGTCAGATATGACCTCGACTTGTCAAATGCACAATCTCCTTTCTTCACCTAATTTACGGACATCTCTACAAATAAAATCCTATATGTTCTCAGCTTCATCTTCTCCCCAAAGTTGAACCCCCCCCACCCCCCCACCCCCCACCGCCTTAAAAACACAAACACGAACACTCCAGCAGGTGCTGGGAAAACACTCTCAGGTGAGCTTTCTGGAGCCTTTCCAAATCCCCAGAGTGCAGGTGCAGCGGCAGACTTTCCGAAGCGGCGCCCGCTGGCTCTCGGCGGCGCGCAGGAGGCCGGGCGAGCCGGCGGGCCAGCGGGGTGTGCGAGCCGCAGCCCGCCGGGGGCCCGGTCCCGCCCCCGCCCCCGCCCCCCGCGCAGCCCGGCGCACAGCCCGGCGCGCAGCCCGCACTCACTTCCCTCGCACCCGGACTGCGCGTCCCGCCTCGCGGCGCCTCCTCCCCGCACGCCTCGCCCCCCGGCCGAGGTCACGCTTAGCACCGTCGCGCACCGCGGGGCTCCGGGTCACCCGGGCTGCACCGCAGGAGCCTGGAGGCTGGGCCTCCGGGCAGGACTGCTCAGTGGGCGCAGCCTGGCTCGCTGGGTCACGTGGTGACGACTCGAGGTGGGCGTGGCTTCGGCGCCGGGAGTGCCGTCCCAGGCCCCGCCCCAACCCGCGCATGCGCGCCCGCGCCACCCCGTAAAGCGGCTCCCCGCGGGGTCTGCCGCTGGGAACTTAACTGGAAGTATTCTTTTTCCTGCTTAATGGTCCACGTGGAACTATATCATAATTTTACCGGACATTTCCCTACAGCTGAATGGTACTTCAACATTTTTGATCACAGAAAGAATGCTAGATTAAGCTTCTTCGTACATATATCTATCCACATTTACCAACTTCAAATACAGCTAAATAGAAATGGAACTTTCTGGGTATATGAGCCTAAAGATTCTTCAGAAGTACACTAGTACCCAATGACTCTTCAGAGAGGCATGGTTTGTATTCTGAGTGATATGTGTAGTAGTGAGTGGTGTCTATCTCTCCATGTTCTTTCCAGACATGAGTGTTATCTTTATACCTCTGTAGTGAGTGAAGAAAGACCTGAGTGAATGTGTATATGTTTGATATGGGCACAGCCATATTAAGGAGCCCAATACCTTAGATCCACGGAAATGGGAAAACCACCCCTCCTGTCTCAATTCCGATGTTGCCAGTGTGCAGAAAAGGTCCACTGTAGCTTGGTCCTCTTGGATATTTACAGCTTGAAGACTGCTCCCCTACAGAGACTGCTCCTCCGGTGATCAGCTAAGCCTGTCTCCTTGTTCAGCTGTATACCATAAACCCTGCCACCCTGATTCAGCTGAATATGACCCCCCTCCCTGTTCAATGTCTACAATAAACACACCGAGCTTCCAGCTTCCAGTGTGCAGCCTTTTCCATGGGAGAGCACACCATGTGATCCCAGCTTCTGCAAATGTGTGTCTGCCATCTTATCATCCCTTCGAGGGCCCAGTCAGCTCAATCCCTGGAGGCGTGTGCAAGGATGCAGCATATCTCCATTAATTTGATCGGCTCTAATCATCTCTAGTGACATCTATAAGAGAAACCTACATTGATGGTTAATCTTGTTAATATGTCCAGATCTACAATCACCATGGAAACAAACCTCAGGGCATGGGTGTGAGGAATTTTCTAGATTAGGTTAATAGAGGTGGCAAGGTCCACCCTAACTGTGGGTAGCACCGTCCTCTAGAATGTCTTGGGCTGAAAAACAAGGAGAAAGGACAATGTTCATCTGTTTCTGGACGGGGATGCCATGACCAAGCCGTGCTGCCCACGGTCCCTGTCACAGTGCTCCCTGTCACAGTGCTCCCTGTCACAGTGCTCTTTATTTCCGGAACCGTGAGCCTTCCTTAAGTTGCTCTGGCCATGTGCTTTATCGCAGCAATGAGACGAATAACTGATGGACCCTGCCTAGACACCAGCTGTTTGTGCACATTCACCCCAAGGCCACGAGGACAGGTAGATTTGGAAGAGGCAAACTAGTAGCTGGTCTCTTGCCTAAAACCTTGGAATTTGGAAGATTTTTCCAAAATATCTTGCCAAGGAGGAATACTTTATAAAGAAATTTGTAATTTATATCAGAAATTTAAATTTGTAAAAAAAAAAAACTATAGTTAGGTTCTCTGCGCTTCCCCATTGGACAGATGGACAGACACATCCTCTGCAGAGCCACCTGGGTCCTTAAGACACGACAGTAAACATTGGGGAGGGGACAAGTTTAGTATATTGGCTCCTGGTCTCTACATTGGCTTAATTCTATCAGGGTGGATACTGCCATCATCAAGGACCCCTTCGCTGACTCCAAGTAATGGTGTCTATGGTCTAATAGGATTCCAATTCCAGAAAGCTCCACACACACTGGTGGATGTGCGGGGCAGAGCAAAATCACAGCTTCAAGGGCAGGAAGTGAAAAAGAAATAGAAAGGACTGGACCCTACTGCCTGCTTCAATGGTATGCCCTCTGTGACCTGAAGATGTCCCATTGCCACTTAGAGGGTCCACTACCCCTCAACAGCACCAGGGCCTTGGAACCAAGCTTTTAACACACGGACTTTTGGGGTGCATTCCAGATCCAAACCACAGCAGCTGCTTCCCCCTGACTTGAGTGGGATGCTAAAGCTGCCTCAAGAAATAGGCTTGTATAATTTCAGTTGGTAGTTATGAAAGGCAAGACAGCTCTGGGGTACTCACCTCGCTCTGAGGAAGTCCAGACCACATGGAGAGTGACAAAGGCCCCATCTCTCCTTCCAGGAGAAGATCTGCCACCTTACAGTAACTCACTCATGAGCCATGTGCCGGGGCCTGTCCTGATGGCAGATTTTTCTTTATGCCCTGGAGTTGTTCACACAGCTTTAAATGCAGTAACCAAAGGCTAACTTTTCATTGGTCCTCAACTCTTGAAAATTGGAGAAATATGCTCTCTTAATTACTCTTCTATTACTATGACAGAACACCATGACCAAGGCAACTTAGAGATGAAGTGTTTAATTGGGCTTCCAGTACCAAGGGGTTAGAGTCCATGATGGTGGAGCAAAGGTATGGTGGCAGAGACAGGCGAGTGCTCACATCTTCAATCACAAGCAGGAGATGGAGAGAGGTCACTGAAAATGGCACAAGTCTTTTCAAACCTCAAAGCCCGCCCCCAGTGACATACTTCCTCCAGCAAGGCCACACCTCCTAATATTCTTCAGTCACTAACTGAAGACTAAGTATTCAAATGTCAGAGCCCATGGGGGGTCATTCTCATTCAAACAACCACATGTGCTAACATGGTTTCTCTTTGCTTAAAATGTTATGATTGAAGCTCAGTGTCACTGTTACTTACTTAAAATTGGGAAACCATTCTTGGAGTCTTACCATAAAGCTACAGTGGGTGACCAGGAGCAACAACAATGGTCTCTGTTCTTATGGAGACCTCTAAGCTGGAAAGCTTTCCTGTGTCCCACCTGGTCCAAGCCACTCAGACCCAAGTAAACACACAGAGGCTCATATTAATTAAAACTGCTCGGCCATTAGCTCAGGCTTTCTACTGACTAGCTCTTACACTTAAACTCAGCCCATTTCTGTTAATCTATATGTCGCCACGTGTTCTGTGGCTTTACCTGTGTGCCATTACATGCTGCTCCCTGGATGACAAGCTGGCATCTCCTCACTCAACCTTCCTCTTCCCAGAATTCTCCTTGTCTGCTTATTCAGCCTATACTTCCTGCCTGCCTACTGGCCAAATCAGCATTTTATTAAACCAGTGTACAAAAGCATTATCCCACAGCAGAGACCTCTGTGGCCTCGGCCTCCCTGACCAATAACTCACAGAGAGGGATCTCATGCCTGACGTTGAAATTTCTTCTTAAACCCATGTCTTCTAGTAGCAGCACTGACCATCCACGTAGTCTCCATCTGAACTCCTTTAAGTTAACTTGAAATTATCTTACTAATTAGTTTCTCAAAGGCCCACGCTCATCCTCCCTCTTTTTCCCCACCCCATGCTCCCTCTCGTCCCCCCTTAAACCTTTAACGCCCAGTATCCAGCCCTCTTCTTTCATATTTAGGGGTCATTCTTAATTAACAGAGGTCAGCAGTGATATTCCTCCAGAAAACTCTGAAGTTGTTCAAAACAGTGCGTCAGTTAAATCAACTCTACATTTGTCCAGTAACTAGAGCTGAATAATCACTTCTTAGTTATGCCTATTCTAAATTATTACAGACACATTTGTTCATGAAAGGTTCTGCAACAATATTAAAGAGGAAAATTAAAATATTCTATGAGCAAAATCACATGAGCAAAATTTACTTGACCAGAATAAGAATACAAACTTCTTCTTGTTATGAAGGTCACAGGGTGACATTAAAAGACACAATGCCACAATCTAAGAATCCAAAGGAATGTATTCAATCCGACTCTCCTGTCCAAAGAAACATGCAGATATTTTTCTGACATATGTAGATTTGTGGAGTCTTGCCCTGTGATAGTTATGAAGTCAATGTTTCTAGGGCTGATGAAAACATATATTGCTTAAATGCCTCTTGCTCACTCACCAAGGTGAGAGCTTCCCACTCATACCATATAGGACAGGGGTAGATGATTTTTCTTTTTGTCTAGGTCATCTCTAATATGACTCATCTTTCCTGTGACTTTCTAATTCTTTAATTACTTAATTAATCAATTTTGGTATTTTGTGACAGAGTTTCTCTGTGTAGCCTAGCTGTCCTGGAACTCACTGTGCAGACCAGGCTGGCCTTGAACTCACAGAGATCTACCTGCCTCTGCCTCCAAGTGCTGGGATCAAAGATGTGTGCTGCCACCACCACCTGGCTGACTTCCTAATATTTTTAACTGATCAACTGGCATATAACTTAAATACCATGTAAATCACCCATTTAAAATATAAAATGTAATTGTTTTAATATATTCACAGTTGTGCAACTGGTGTTACTATCTAATTCCCTAGAAGTTAATAAGAAAGCTCTCAGCTCTAATCTCTAGTCAAACACACTGATCCACTTGCTATTTTTCTAGCATTGCCTTTTTTGGTCATTATCTGTAAAGAGAATCATATGATGTGGTTTTTATGACTGGCTTTTTCACTCAGAATAGTATCTTTAGTGCTCTTACATATTACAGTATGTAGTTCTTCCTTTTTATTACCAAATAATATTCCACAGAGTAAGTAGACAGCATTTTTGTTCATGTGTCAGCTGGCAGCATTTGAGTCGCTTCCCATTCTCGGCTACTGAGCTGCTATGAACACCCGCTTTTGCATGGACGTATTTTTAAGTCTTTTGAACACACACCTAGGGGTGACATTTCTGGGTCGTACGATAGCGTAAGTTTCACACTGTGAAAAACAATCAAATTGCTTTCCAAAATGGCTGTGCTAGTGCACAAGGCCACCAGCAGTGTGTGGGAATCCCTGACAGTTGTTCCTGTCTTGGCTGCAGCCATCCTTAGTTCTGAAGATCTTGGAAAGTGCACTTTATCTGCCTTCTCACTTCTACACCCATCAAGTCGTCGTGACTCCATTTTCAAAATGCCCTGTGGCCAAATTATCAAGTGT